TTCAACGCCCCAAAGGACGATCCCTTCAACGCCCCCAAGGACGATCCCTTCAACGCCCCCAAGGACGATCCCTTCAACGCCCCCAAGGACGATCCCTTCAACGCCCCCAAGGACGATCCCTTCAACGCCCCCAAGGACGATCCCTTCAACGCCCCCAAGGACGATCCCTTCAACGCCCCCAAGGACAATCCCTTCAACGCCCCCAAGGACGATCCCTTCAACGCCCCCAAGGATGACACCCCCAAGGCCCCCAAAGATGATCCCTTTACCACACTGGCATCATCTAAAGATGTCCCCTTTACTGCTGCATCAACATTCCCCAAAGAGGATCCTTTCTCCACATCATCAAACCCTACAAAAGAGGACCCTTTTGTTGCACCAACAACACTCCCAAAAGAGGATCCATTCAAAGGGCCATCCAGTCCACCTAAAGATGATGCGTCCGATCCCTTCAATGCGCCTCCACTGAGCTCGCCTCAAGATGCTGCAGATGCATGGGGTGCCCCTGCTTGCTCTCCACCCAGTGACGGGTCACATACATGGGGGGTGCCGTCTGCTCAAGAGGAAACAAAGGGTGGAGACCCCTGGGGGGATGGGACAAGCACCTTCTCACCTGTTGATAATGCTGATGCATTTGGAGATGCATCCAAACTGGACAACGACCCATGGGGGGCTCCAGGTAAGAAACTGTCATATACATTCTGCTAAACATCTTTTATCTTTGCCAGATCTTTCATCAATATTCCATGGCATTCCTTAACACATGGGATTCTCTCAGGTGTCATCAAAACTTTGAACCTTTGAAAGCAAGCAAGTGGATCTTTGTTACCTGGTTGTGCCGCTGAAATAGAAATAGTAAGGACTCTGAGCAAGATTAGAAAAGCACCTTAAGCTGACATACACAACTATATGAACAACAGAAGTCCCGAAGTCCCAACAATCACACTGAAATGTTTTTCTCATCGGGATGATATCGTTTTGTCCTTTTTGAACCATAACGCTGTATTTCACCTGTCAAGCTGCAGCTCCGGTCAGCACAGATGATGCATGGGGTTCACCTGCTCCCCCCGTGGCCTCCTCCCCGTCAAGTGGTCCGTTTGGCGACGGAGCGTCTAAAAAAGGTGATCCTTGGGGTGCGCCAAGTAGCGCACCTAGCAACGGGGCAGGTAGGTCACACGTGGCTGTTTTCTCAAATCCATTAATCCATTATTCACGGTATTAAAACATCAGTGTCTGCTCGGTACTCAGCAATTAAAATGTTCCGCTCTGATTAAAATCAACTAAACTTTTCCTCTGAATAGTTTTAATATGGCTGTTTTTAGCCCATAACACATTACCAGCTGGCTTAGTGCTTGGCTGGAACGGGTCACCCTAACAACGTAACAGTTTTTGTGCCTGATTCTTACTGTTTACTTCCGTTTCCTCCATTTCACCCCCATCTTCGGTCAGCAGCTGGCTAACAATCTGTAACCCACTAAACCTCTCTTCCACTTTGCTCTCTTTTCCTCCCTGACCTGTCCCCAAAAGAAAATACCTTTTAGAGTAGAATTGGACCTGTATTGTATTGCAGGAGAGCGACCGGCGCAGAAGGAGAAGGCGTATAGAAAGACTGCTTCGTTTCTGGGCTCTGCGGCGGCGCTTGTTGACTTGGACAATCTATTTTCTTTGAATCCCGAACCCATGCGGCGACCAGTCGCCAGCACGCTCCTCGCCCAGACACAAGCCGTCGGTAAGGAAGGAGAAACCGCTTCGCTCTGGGTGACAATAACCGTTCTTTGACAATGGCTTGGTGTGGGATCATATGTGGCACGCTTGATTTAAATGGATGCATGACCAACTTTAAAGACTGGATAATCCCTGAGACACACAAATAATTGCTGGGATGATGATTCACATGCATTCCACTACTGTTTAGCTCAAGTCCAGAGAGGAGGTGGGTGAGACTGAATCACAAGTAAATATTGAGCAATAGGTGTGAGTGGAAAAGATTACTGTAATCCTGTGTGATGCCCCACCCCCCCTTTTCTCGCTGCATACTGTATAGATGTTGTGACCTGAAGTTTAGTGTAGAACCCAGTGTAGATTAACTGGACAAAATATAACTTTTCTCACCCCTCTCTCCCTCTGATCTGGTGAATTTTCTCTTTACTGTAATACTTTATCACACCAAGCCAAGCCCGTCATCTGGTGTGGTCCGTCCGAAATTTCCAGGCGCTCTCAAAGCCAGAGGATGACATATGGCCCTGTGCCCGTG